GAACCAACCTGACCCACTGGATCGGGTTGGGTTGACATGGACCCGACCCGATCCAACTCATTCCCTCCCCTGGCTACAGCTCCTCAAGCAAAAATTGAGAGCCTAGAATACGAATATTTTCAGCTCTCTCCACAAAAAAAACAGAACTCTTAGGAGGAAACAGATGAGTTAGACTTACTAGAGGAACTCAGGGACCTTTCCCCTTCTGAGCTTGAGGCTAGAATTCATGCAAAGACAAACTTCCAAATTATTCTAAAGCAAGAGGATATATTTTTGACGCCAACGCTCTAGGATTAAATGGCTACAAGAGAGGGAGTAAAACACCTCCTTTCATAAGTCTGCAAGTTGCCAGCCAATTCTATCCTACACATCGTGGTCAATGGTATAATCTGCGAAGGGCAAGACGACAGTCCCAGGGTTGTTGTCTCTTACTTTTAAAATCTCGTTGCTGCTGAAAGTGCCCCTAAATCTGGGGTAGGAAATGTCTCCTTTCAATTTATATCTTTAGATTGTGCCCGGTGGCTTGAATGACCTATTTCAGAGCAAGAAGTCCTCAAAGCCTTTGCTGATTTGAGCTAGGATAAGGCCCCTGAGCCAAGAAATCCTCAAAGCCTTTCCTATTCATCAAGTTCTTGGATGTCCTTGGCCCCTATGTCTTAGCCTGATTCTCTGAATTCCATAAAAGGGGAGTGGTAAACAAAAGTATGTGTGCTACGTTTATCACACTCATCTGAAAGTAGAGGGGGCAGAGGAACTTAGAGTTTAGACCAATTGGCCTTCTGAACAGTTCTTATAAGATCCTTGCCAAGTTTATTGCCTCAAGACTCCTCTATGTTCTTGGCCAAGCTATCTCCCCCGACCAGGGAGCCTTTTTCGCTAACGAATACTTCAGCTGACAGTCCCTCTCAAGAACACCGGGCTTGATATGTAAGCTAGATCTTGCAAAAGTCTATGATCATGTAATCGGGGGTTCCTTTACTTTATCTTGTATCTGATGGGCTTTGGGCCAAAATGGAGGCAATGGATCCGGGGCATATCTGTCCTCAGCTCACTTCATCATAATCAAGGATCCCCGTAAGGCTCCTTCATTACTACCTGTGACCTTAGACCAGGGGATGGATCCCTTGTACCCTTTCCTATTTGCTATTGTGGCAGACATATTTAGCAGGTTCATTGAAAGGCTTTACCAGTTCAGTTTTCTCACGGGTTTCTCCTTGCCCCACCAGGGCCCCACTATCTCTCATTTTCTCTATGAGGATGATTCTTTGGTGTTCCTTGATGTCTCTCCATAAGAAGTCGATAATCTATGGATTTTCATTCGTTGCTTTGAATTGGTCACAGTCTTCAAGTCAACATGCTTAAAACCAATCTCATGCATTAGACAGTTTCCCTCCATGTGTTAGCATGAAGAATATGGTTTGCCAATGGCAACCTCCCAAGCAAATATCTTGGATTACCCTTTACTTGGATAAACCAAAGATGCCCAATGGGATACCATGGTTGAGAAATTCAAGAAGAAGCTGGCTACCTGGAAGAGTCGCTTCGCCTTTTTGTGAGGTCGAATTATCCTAATCAAATCCACCTCGGCAAGCATCCCAGTGTCCCAAATGTCCTTTTTCCACTTGCCTGTATGGAATGGAAGCTCGAACCCTGATATATTCCACCTGGTCAGGTTGGACCAGGTATCTTCTGGGGACCTAGGCTTCCTAAACCTGCAAATTGCCAATACCGGCCTACTGGGCAAATGATGGTGGCATTTTGCCACTAACCTGGATCAGCTGTGGACATCAGTGATATCCAATAGATGTGGTACTGACTGCAAAAGATTCTTCTTCCTCTAAAGCTTCGGGTGCATGGCGAGTTATTAGACAACTAAATTCCAACTTTTCAGTCTGTGGGCCTCCTCCCGTACTACATCTGGCAAGACTTCCGTCTTGGATGTAGCCTTACCTGCCTTCTACAATGCTGCTGTAAAAAGTGAGGCTTTCATGGGCGACTATGCTTCTTGAGTGGTTGGGAATAGAGTTTGGCCCCCTGGCCTAGGCCGAGACCTCATGTAGTCCGAGGACTCCCATCTTGGTTTCCTTTTGCTCATCTAGATTCTTTCTTCAAAACCCTCACAACCTTCACCCAAGCCAGTGGCTGCAAACAGAGTTTCACTCCCCTTGGCCCCACCCAATGTGCAAGCGCTCTCTTGGCATGCCATTTTGGACAAAGTTCCAACTCTGGACAAGATAAAAAATGAGACTTCCATCTGGCCAATAGATGTACCATGTGTGGTACTGAAAAGGAATCTAATCCTGTGCACCCAATCAACCATGATTTGGGCACCTTTTCTGAACCTTTTTGGCCTATCCTGGATTGCCGACCCCTCAGAGGAAGACCTTTACAAACAATACTATTCTCTCCCCCTACCAGCTTCCAGTCGACTCCTTTTGCACCTCCCGTCCAGGCAATCATTTGGTCCATATGGCTCAAAAGGAATCGAAGGATCTTCGAGGGTTCAACATCTCGCCTATTCAACATCATCCAAAGGATCCTATTCACTGTTATATTTGGGGCTTCCTCAAACAAACTCTTCAACTGCTATTCCACCTGGCGCAATGTTATTCTCTCAACACCTACCATTTCTGGGTCCTCGGCATGGTTACCTTCAGGCTATTGTAGTCATTTGCATTGAACTTCTATGGCTGTGCCCGCAGGAATCCAGACCCTGCTGGCATTGGTGCCTATTTGGAACCCATAATGGGGACTCTTTTGTCTTTCTCAGGTCCCATCGGCAGTGCGGGTGATTCACTTGCTGAGGCTTTTCTACTTCTTCTCTGCCCATCTCTATATAATGGAGAAGAGGGTCCTCGATCCTCATTGAAGGAGACTCCCTCAATGTTATTGAATGGGTCTCTAGGGCTACCCCTTGCCCCTGGAGATTCGACATCTTCAAGCAGATTTTCCATCTTTTTTAAGGACTGGTGGTTTCATTTCAACACGCTTGGCATGAAGCTAATTCTGATGCAGACTCCCTGGCCTGTGCAGGAAGAACTTCCTTCTACCATTGTCGCCACAAATGCTTCATCTGTTTAAAAGAGCCTTAAGTCCAGCTCCTGTTTCTGATTCATAACCATTTTTGTATCCATTTTGCAATTACCTATTCTTGGTGCTCTGTTTTGTGACACCAATTAAACTGTGCATTTTTACAACATTGATACAAGTACAATTTAGTTGCTTACAACCCCCCCTTCCAACCACCCCAAAAAAAGAAAAAACAAAACTCCAAATAAAAGCCAAGATTTGAAGTGTTTATTTATGTTCACCTAATTACATTAAGCAAGGTACAAAGATTTACAAAATTGCTTATAGCATAATCTGCGCCCAAACAGGAGCGACAAGCAAAAGTTTACAGCGGAAAGAAAAAATGTATCCTGGTTAGGAGTTAGGACAGACACCTGTTAATTAGAAAGGGGTCGCTTGCGACAACAACCTAATTCTCCTTGTGGTATGTATGTTTGTAAGAGACTTGAATATTGTTAGATATTAAATTTGGTCGAACAAATGTTTCCAGTACCAGGGGGCGGCAATCCCTGAGGTTCATCTACTCACATTCTCAGAGTCCCTTTCTTTCTCAAGGGAGTGGGCCCAGTAAAAATATTGGAAGTAAATGTTACAGTACTTTCGGATGCTTTGTAGAAGTATTGGTCATATAGAAAGAACTGTTGGGAAAATTTAGAAATGCTTTCTTTTAGGGGATTGTTTACAAATAAACCATTTACCTTCTGTACAAAGTGGTCACAATCATTCTTGTCTTTTAGATTTCAAAATGGTGGTTTTAAGAGTGTCACTGATTAGACGTAAAGTTCAAAAAAAAAAATTGTCGGACTTCGTGACTCACCCCTAGTCATCCAATTTGACATCTAATGAGTGGGAATAGTTTTGACCTCCTTGTACGGAAGGTAAATGGTCTCTTTGTAGACAATCCCTTCTTTTAAAGAGTTGATGATATATTTCTAAGAGTTTTGACATGCATGTCCTCTATATATCTATATACTAAACAGAAAAGGGTGATGCAATTGATTTATTAGATGCATGAGCTATTTATACCATTAGCAAAGAAGTTGCAGTTAATGCCTTTGTTTGAGATTGACATGATAGGCTAGTTTTATTTATTACAAAGTAGACAATCGAACTATTAAGAATGTTTTCTCAACATAGTCTGAGCTGGAAATCTCCACTCTGTAGAAACTAAGTGGTATATTGGAGAATATCTCCCTTTATTGTCTTCCCCATTTCTCTAGTACCAGGAGAAGCTAAGAAAATATAAATCAGAATCTGGATAGTAGGATTGTAGGAATTGGAAAAATTCATTTATAATCATAGAAAAGTATCATGAAAAAAGAGAAAGCCAAGTTATGATATGTCGGTTACTGCATTGGTCCTGGTAGCATCATCCTGTTTTCACTCACTAAACAGCTAAATGAGCCTTTCTCAATGTCTCCGCTTATTCGGATGGGATTGATGTCTTATTGTTATGGGAAGACTTGACAATGCAGTTGTGCTTCTAGTAGAAAACATTTTTCCTACATGAACTTTGTTCCTCATACTAGGCTTTTATATTTTTGTTGAATATGTACATTGAGTTTTGCACCATACAATTTGGATGTCCCTCTCTCTTAAAAATGCCATAGGCTAAAAATGATTAGTGTTTTGCCCCGCAACAGTTCTCGTAGAGCCGTTGTGGTTTCCGTGTTTTTTGTATGAAAAATCGACCGCACCAGAAATGCTATGTCCGTTGCGGTCGATTTATCCATGCTGTCCGAAAAAATCGGATGGCATCGAGCCTGTGGGTGAAAGCACTATTCATTTTCACCCATAGGCATTGCGTAGTGGCTTCCATATATATATATATATATATGAAATTGTTGTCATCTGCATACCTATAGGGCTTTATTTTGCTTCTTTTATCCTTACAGTCACTGAACGTAATCTCTCTCTCTCTCTCTCTCCAGGGCTTCCAGCTGAAACAACCATCGAGATGTATGTCACTGTTGGGGCTTACACACTCCTGAGGTCTTGCACCATTGAACCTGAGTGCATCATCGGGCAAAATTCAGTCCTCATGGAGGGCTCCCTTGTTGAGACTCATTCTATCTTAGAAGCTGGGTCGGTCCTTCCCCCTGGTCGTAGGATTCCAAGTGGTGAACTTTGGGCTGGGAATCCAGCACGATTTGTGAGAACTCTAACCAATGAAGAGATCCTGGAAATACCCAAACTCGCGGTTGCCATTAATGACCTAAGTCGAAGCCATTTCTCTGAATTCCTTCCTTATTCTACTGTTTATTTGGAGGTCGAGAAGATGAAGAAATCACTTTCTATTCCTCTGTGAAGAAGCTGATCCCTTCATCACCCTTTGGTTTTCCTTCAAAAGAATAAGCCCCACCACAAACTGTCCTTTGACCATGGTCTTTTAAGCATTTTTTTCGTTTGCAGAGTTGGGAGAGAGGAACTGCTTTGTTTTTATGTCTACTGTGGTGAGGAGTGAGGATTGAGGAGAGGGTTTGCCATGGCCTTCATTTGGCAGGTTTTATTTATGCTCTCTTGTTGTAGTTAATCTTTGTTCCATCGTTTGTAGCTTAAATCAAAACCAGCAATTCTGGTTGATTTTTCATGGAGCTATGGAGAATCTAAAATATGTTCCGTACCCTTCCGCTTCTCATTTTTTTTTTGGAAATCTGAACTCCTGGTTATGTGGGAATGTTTACTGCTTTTTCCTAGTCTCATGGACTTGAAAGGATAGAGCACTAAGTGCTGCAATTAGGGGCGGTGCTAGAGATGCTTTTTGTTACTCTCAGCTACCATGGCATTAAAGTTAACCTAGACCATATGAATTATGGTATGATATGAAGAAGAAATCTTTGGGATCGATCACTCCAAATTCTTGAGAGAAACTTATTCTGGTGGAAGTCTGAACCATAGATTCATGTGCATCCAGTCAATTGAACTTTGGCCTGGTTTCCCAAACAAAGCTTAGTCTTTGAACCATGGATTCTTGTCCACACGGTCAATTCAACTTTCCCTGCTACCAGGTGGTATCTTTTTTAGAACTGCCATGGCTGGTTCTAAGTCAGTCATACCGGTCCCAAGTTCGGAGAAAGGAGGAGGATTGTGTTTGGTGGACGGCCAGCATAGAACTTTGCTACATCTTATTAAAGAGAAAGTTTAATAGGATGGCTATAGGCTCAATGATGTTTTATGGGATGCAGATGGTGTTTTATAGATTATATTTGATGTTGAAGAACATATTAAAGATAAAATTGTGCGAGTGGGTTATTTTATTTTTTTTGAGAAAATATTTGACAAAATAACATTTTGATTTTTAAAAATAACACATTAAATGCACATGATTGCAAAGTTTTCAAATATAAACTTTATTAGTTACAATTTTTTCGGATCAATTTTCACTCTAGAGAATCAGTCCCTGGATTAGCCATCTGGATTGGTCTACCACGGGAACCATTACAAGATCAACGAGCATTTGTTGGCTTCTATTGAAGGGTATCATCCCTAATTTATAAATGGAAAATATTTGATGGTCCCGGGGGTCGCAGGCGTCTATACTCTTAACACTAAAGCACCACATTTGGCTGGCTAAAAGAGAGAGGCCATATATGTACGAGAGAAAGAGAGCCAAACAAAAAAGAGAGAGAGAAACCATTTATGAGAGGGAGAGAGGAACGAGGGGAGATGAACCTACGAGAAAAACATTCTGATAAGTGCTGACAAAGGAGAATGAGAGAGAGAGAGAGAGAGAGATGGGGATGGGGAAGAGTAAATTAGCCCTCAAAAGCATTTCTGACACAAATAATTGGGTTCATCACAATGCCACCAGCAACAATATGGACAAAATAATACATTACAAATAAAAATATGGACAAAAGAATATTTATATTAACGAAATTTCCTGACACTATTCTTCGATACTCGTAATTAAATACACATGCGTACAAAAATCCCCATCAATACAATTTGGAGCTTTGCTTTACAACCCATTTCATATGCATTTTCCTATAAAATAAAGGGCGCGATTTACAATGAAACTAAAGACACTAGAAAATGAGGTTTCATTTTTGCACTTATCAAGTAACACGAAGCTCCAAAAATGGTTTTCATGGCAGATATTGAATGGTCTAAAATGTATTATAAGATTCATTATTTTAAGGGTTCGATTTTTTTTTTTTCCCAAGTCTATAATTGTTCAGTATCGAGCATCAATATGAGGGTTTCCCAAAAACTACAGCAGAGCCCATTTTGCTAATCTCCTCTGGCTTGAAATTAGGGAAATAAAATTCCACTAGGAGAAGTATTGTGTGCTAGAAGACAATTCATCTTTGATATAAGGTCACAAAATATGGAAAATTTGATCGTTTTGAGATGTATTATGAAGTTTGAGTTTTCTTTTAGTACTTTGAATACATTAAAATAGTATGCCCTCGGAATGTGATTTGTCACATCCTGTTGCCAAAAGACAACTTTATTATTTCTAGCCTCGTATTTCATTTTTATTGAAATTGCTCGATCGTGTTTTGTTTTGGGAATTGATAGAACCATACGGTTCTTGCAGGAATTGTTCGGTTTTCAGATAGAATTGTAAAAAAATCAGCCGGTCCGACTCTACCTTTAATTTTTATTATTTCTAAATTTTTATTTTATTCTTTATATTTTTTAAAATTAATTGATTCACTCGGCCGATCGCCAATCTGGACCGCCAATCCATACTGGATTTTTTTTTTTGTAAGGGCAATCTGGGTAATCGGTCCCAAATTTCAAAACACTTAGTTTGGTGTTTTTAAATTTGTCGGATATTTTTCCACGTCCGAGTCGTCGTGACTCCTATGCTTAATGACAAAGATACATACATAATACCTGCCCAAAAATGGGGGCACTAAACGTGTCATTTACTCGCTCCTTTGACACGCGCCCCAGTTGCTGCGGTCTACGACGGAATTCGCATGCTTCCGAAGAAACGTCGGCGGTCCGTTTGGTTGAAAGGGACAAGTGTACGGTGAACGCTTCACGGTACGTGCCAATAGATGCGATTCCATTTTGGTTACGCACGCCGAGCCTTTCCTATTTGTACGGCCAGGATGATTCAAATGGAATCATCCTCTGTCCCACCTTTCTTTTTCATGGTACATGGTTTTTTTTTTTTTTTTTTTAAGCTTTTGCTTTTTATACCGTTGTTTGTGCTATTCCCACTCAAGATATGAGTGGTGATAAAAGACAAAGATGCTAATTAGAATCATCAGTTTTGGATTGGAAATCAATAAGAGCAGTAGGTGAATTTTTCTACTCTATATTAATAAGAGAAATGACCCTCCCCTACATGGTTTTTTATAGAATCGAACCGTTCTATTAGGGAACTCTAGGCTCCACTTTTTATTTTCGTCAGAATTTTTTTAATTTTTTTTTTTAAATTAGGATAAACAAAGAAAACAGGAAAAAAAAAAAAAAGGGGAAGGGAAAGGAAAGGAAAAAGGCATCCAAGAGTGCTTAATTTTGCTAGACATTCAGCTTCTCCTTGTTGATTTGCGTAAAGATGACCTCTTTGGCTTGTATGATTTCATCGATAATAGGGGTCAATTGTCAAGGTAGGTTATCACACAATTTGACAACATTTTCATAATCTCCCTCTTTAATGATGCGTACCTCTATGAAGCTTTAAAACTCCATTCTTAATTGCTTTCAGTTCTGCTTCATTGACCTCACAGAATTGAAAAAAAATAAATACATTTTGTTCTATTTTTTACTGGCCGATTTGGCTTGGCCAGACAAGCTAGCTGGACTCGACAAATTATCAATCTGTAAGATCCAAAGAAAAATAGGGTTTGATTGAAATTCAATCAAAATTAGTATTTCACAAAATTTGACAATTAGGATTTCTTGATATTTGATCGATTGAACCGGCCGAACAAAGATAAACTTTTGTAAATATATTTTATATTTAAAAATTTTATTTTTATTTATTCTTAAAATTTTCTTTTTACATACCAACTAAAATGTAGAATTGCTTAACCAGTAGGAGTATTTGAAACATGACAAAGTTAGAGATGGGAAATTTATCAAACATGAGAGATGCAATCTTTAGCATTTTATGCTTTTATTCACCCACAAAAGTATTTTATACTTTGGAAAAGTATGCCATAAGACTGTTTACTTTTGTTATAAGGCGGTCACAGTTAACCTTAATCATGAGATGCGAATTTGGGTGGCTACATTTATTCCATTGACCAAGCTCAATTTTTTTTAAATTTTTTATGAACTCTATTACACATCCAAGCTCTCAAATTTCAGGATGGTTATAAATAATAGTCTCATCGTGTGCAATCCCTTATGCCCTTGGTACTATTTCAGCTAATCGTGGTAGATTATTTATGGGTATTCTAAAATTAAATCAAACCATATAAGTACATTATTAAATAGTTCATTTCACATGAGTGTTTTGATAATTTTCTCATTAGATATTTGACCCATGAAATAGGGTGTATTTTTTTTTAGGGGTAAAACTGGGTGGAAGATTAACCAAACAGTCAAGCCAAATTAGGATGGATTGGACGGTCAGCATTAAAGAGATCAGTAAACTAGCGCAATTGACCATCAGATAGCTGCCAATTTGCCTTTAATTTAGGTGCAACCACGAGGTCAAACATTTCGTTTCCAAAAGGCAAGCCATCAAACCAACGATCGCGATTTTCGGAAAAATATCAGCCGTCCATTCCCTGCACACAGTACGGACGCCCGTTTTCCAATTTTTTGTCTCATTGAGAATGCATTAATAATACATTAATACCGCATTAAAGAAGATGCACAGTAAATAGCTTTTTGCTATTCTTTTCTATTTTAAATATCACTATGCTGCTACAGGCAAGTAGAGTAGGCATTGTTTAAGTGTAGGACCCAAAAATTTAGATAAGAGAAGAGAAGAGAGGGGAGAGCCCCAATATACGAGAGCGAGAGACCCCAAAAAGTTAGAGAGAGAGAGAGAGAGAGAGAAGAGCCAAGAAACTAGAGAGAGATCCAAAAGTTAGTAGAGAGAGCCCCCAAAAAAAACTAAGAGAGAGAAAACCCAAACAACTGAGAGAGAAGAGTAGAGAGAGAACACCCTCAAAATACTAAAAGAGAGAGATAGACCCACAGAAAATAAAGAGAGAGAACCCCAAGATACTAGAGAGTAAAGAGTAGAGAGAGAAAACCCAAAATATACTAAAGAGAGAGAGAACCCAAAAAAAAAAAAGAGGGAGATTTTTACTTTACACAAGGCCGGCATTTCCGAACGGCGCCATAATTCAAAAACTCGCCGGCGGGAAATTGGAAGAATCCGGTGGCATCACACGTGCATACGATCAATTTGCCAGGTTGTTACCCCCACTATCCCAGCAGAGGAGGGCACGCCAAAACTGTTCCTCTCACAGATAACGGCCTCGAAAGAGACCATTTTTTTTTATTTTTAAAATATGACCAGAAAATGAGATCGCACGCGTGAGGACCCCTGCCTGAGCCCCGGTCGTTAAGCGATGCGGCCTGCGGGGGCTCGCTCGAGGGCCGGCATCGGCGCCACGGCGGTGGCTGTGAGGAAGCGGCGCACCACACGGGCGCTCGGCTGCACAACGAGCCTCTCCCACGCCTCGTCGGCGCTGGGCCGGTCTGCGGCGTCGAGCACTGCGGTGGCATCGAGCCGGTGCAGCTCCCACCCCCGGAGGCTCCTCAGCCTCTGAATCTTCTGCAATTGGCAGCAGGCCAGCTTACATGTGTTCGCCTTGATCTCCTCCATCGCTTCCCGTATCAGGGCCGCCCTTTCGTGGAGAGAGAGGGACGCCTGCCTCTCCGATTTGATGAGCCTGTCCATCTCTGGGACGCCAATGGCTTTGCCGAGGCCACGGGAGAAGTCGACCCGGCCACCACTTGTATCGAACAGAGCTCGCACATCGGCCACAAGGCCGGCCTCCACCATGTCCTCCACCCGATCGCTTACAAACTGATGGAGCACCGGAAGGGCGGCGTCAACCCAGAGGAAGCAGCACTCGTATCTCATTTGGCCCGGAGCCGGCCCGGACACCAGAGCGTCTATGTAGGAGTTGGATCCACCTGCGACAATGGGAAGGTGGCCGCGTGACGAGATGGAGAGGACCGCCTGGGAGGCCAAGTCCCGGAAATCGTTGCAGTCGAAGTCTTGGTGGGATTTGGGGTCCAAGGTACCGAGCAGGTGATGGGGGACGCCCCTCCGCTCTTCTACAGGGACTTTGTTGGTGACTATGTCTAGGCCCTGATAGAGCTGCATTTTGTCAGCGTTGATGATCTCGGCTGGGAAGCGGGCGGCGAGGTCGATGGAGAGGCGGCTCTTGCCAGTGCCCGTGGCGCCCATGACCACCACCACCTTGTCCTTGCCGGAGCCGCGCCAGGCGAGGGCGAGGTGCGGTCGCAGGGGGCGCGGTGGGCGAGCGAGGGGCGTGGCCTGCACGCGGTGGCGGCACCCGGAGAGTCTCATCATGGCGGGCTGCCCCGTCATTACGAACCCTTTTTTCACATTCGATTACTCACTCTAGATTGATTGAGCAGATGGGAGAGAAGGATGCTGTCTTGTCCACGTGGGCGCCATGATAGCTTCTATCGGGTTGGGTTCAGATTGTGGGCCGCCGCTTCATTGAACCTTGCCCACTGTAGAGACAGAGGGGAGGGGAGGGGAGGGGAGGGGAGGGGGCTCTGAGACTTGGTTTAGGGGTTGAAACTCTAAGAGTGAGAGTAGTTGAGAGATTAGGGATTAGCAGTGTGAAAGAGAGAAGAGAAGAGAAGAGAAGAGAAGGAAGTGGGTGGCGGGGTAGAGAGTATGTTATGTTTCAACACCAATTTCGAGCGTCGAGATTTAAGAGTTTATAAGTTGAGGAACGAGGCAGGTTTGACTGAAAAACAGAGAGAGGGAAAACTTCTTCTAGAATGGAATTGATTCTGGTCCCTGAGGGCTCTCTCTCTCTCTTTCATCTACCCTGCAATCCCATAATTTTTTAATATATATGTATATATAGAAATGGCCTCTTTTTTACATCCATCTGTATACGATCCCAAAAAGATCATTGTACGACTCCAAAATATCACCATTAAATTTGACACACATTTATAGAAAGTCAAATCTCGTATTCATGTGATAACTTTTCTAAAGATTTATGCCAAATTTAATGGTAATCCTCTGGATCCTATTCACATGGATGAGGGAAAGTTTCATAGGATCATTACTTATATATACCTATACGAAAATGAATAGTGATTTCTCCTATCTCATCACCATCCAAATTTCATCACATGATCACAATTGTCCGGTAGTAATTTAGTTTTTTATTTTTATTTTACTAATCAGAATGATCTGAAATTTGGATTTTTAGAAAAAAAATGAAAAATTGAAACACTATCGGACAACTGTGACCATACGATAAAGTTTAGATGGTGATGAGGGTAGGCTAAATCATTATTCATTTTAGCCTATAGGCGTTGGGAAGAGTTTTTCTATGTATACGGATATTCTAAACTTCACAACCCTTCAAATTACAAATATTATAAATATATATATATATTATAGGGATATTCTAAACTTCACAACCATTCAAATTACAAAGGTTCAAGATAGAGAGAGTTGTGAAGGGTGGATTTATTAATTTGTTGTTTATTTTTTTAAAAAAATTACTTTTGTGGGGCAAATTTGTAAATATTATTACAAGACAAAAGGTATTTTTGTCATCTCCATAATGGATAAAATTTAATATTTAACTAAATGACAATGACACTCTACAAATAAAATTTTATAACACTAACTTCTAAAATACCATTATACTTTTGTGAAAATTTTAAATTTGTCATTGCTTAATGGTAAAGTTACATATTTAAATAATTTTTTAATAAAAAAATAATGATTATTTTGATAAATACACCCTTAACCAGAAGAGGGCTTCCTATCCCTTTGACATGAGAGGCAGGGTAAGGTGGCTTTACATGAGATGCAAGAGAAACAAGCTTCTTATCCAGCAAGGCAAAGTAGCCTTATATGAGAGGTAAGGCCTCCACTTACTGAGAAAAGAGCTTCATATCCTATTAATACATAGGCAAGGCATTCTTTTAGAGAGAAGAGAGCTTTCTATAAAGAGAAAGTTCCTCGTAGAAGCTGGTTCTTGTAGAGAAGCGGTTTCTACTTATATTTTGGGTAGTTTTTTTTTCAGTTTTTCTTTCTAGACAGTGGATTTCAGTTTGTGGAGGGTTAATGAGGTAAATCTGTGTCTTAAAATATGTAATGTAACTTTAATTAGTATAATGGATTTCAGTTTGTCATGTCTCAAAATATGTGATATAATTTTAATTGGTGTAGTGGATTTCAGTTTGCTATGCATATGGATGCAACTCTTTTGAAGTGAACCACATAAATATTGTTGTGGTATGTGTGTTTTATGCTTTATTTCTCATATTACTGCTCACATATATATATCTATTAGGTATCTAAGATTATGATAAGATTAGTTAGTAATGATCAATAAATGTTGGTGTCTATCCAGAACTGTCAGCCGTATATTTATACTGGTCTTGTATATTCTTTACTAATCAATAAAGAGAGAGTTCTCTGCAGTATTCTGATCTTCTAACATGGTTTTAGAGCCATAGGCTCCTCAACCTCAGATCTGAGCTCGTACATCAAATTTGAGGTTATTGGATCTGAGCTCGAATTCATATTCGTTCTGACTATCTGCCAAACAGCTGCACCCTCTCTGATGTTGTATTTCTCTCTCTAAAGTGATCTCGACACAAAGTCGGATTTTCTTTATTTAGGTGATCCGTATAGATTTTCTTCTCTCTTGATAATTTGCAAAATTGTTTGTGAAGCCACCTGCTGCCCGTGTAACTAAGATTTGTTATGCTTTGCTTGCAAATTTCCTTGATTCAATCACTACAAGTTTGCTTTGCAAATTTGCAAACTTCTCACATTCTAATACTTTGCTTTGGTTTGCAACTTTGTGAAACCGTTGCGAACCCTTTTGCAGGTCTGTAATTCGAATTTGCTTGTTGCAGGAAAATCTGACCCTTGATCTCGACAGTACCATCAAAGGAAAAAAGACAGGTATGTGTCCAGGGCGGTTTCCTTTTAAACCTCCCCTCTGTCTCTCTCTCTCTGGCGGTAAACATTTTGACCCTTCCCACTCTCTTCCCCTTCTCAAGCATGAGAGCCTTTGGATCTCGCAAGGCCCTGAGTAAGATCGGATGCAATAGACTCCAGAAAGAGCATGTGGAATGGCAAAGTCAATCCACCTGCTCGATTCAAGCACAAAGTCACTGATAATCTACAAAGGTGGGTTATTGAAGTTCATGGTGCACCAGGAACTCAATATGCCAATGAAACTTTTGGATTTCAAGTTGATTTTCCTGAGCATTATCTAATGAAGACTTCCCCTTTGCACAAAAACTTCAGCTCTCTCCTTCGTCCATAGTTGAATCAATCAGCATTCGCAATTGAGAGAGATAAACTCATAAACCAAGGAAGCACTGCCAAAGGCCTCCGAGTCGTGTTTCGAACCTCTGCAAAACAACATTTGTCTATGTTCTAGCCTATGTTCTGAACTGTGAGTTGCTGAATCTGTCTCGGACTGCGAGTTGCTGAATCTGTCTCGGACTGCGAGTTGCTGAATCAATCTCGGACTACGAGTTGTTAAATCTGTCTCAGATCCACACTGAGTTCAGTTGGCTCTTCTAAGTGCCATTCTGTTTTCTCAGTCGTTTATTGTTCCTGAGAGATGTTGATCAACCACTGCTTTATGTGCTTGTTGTTCAAGCAATCTGATAATAGAGACCATTGCTTCTATTGGTCATGCCATGCACGTGAAGACTTAAATATTCAACTCGTTCGTTTGTACAACTTATTGTTTAAACTCTAGCTGCTTTGTGTCAAGTATCTTGAGTTTGAAGAGGAGTGTTAGTGTATATATCTCTTAGGTGTCTAGAATTAAGGTAAGATTAGTTGGTAATTATCAATAAATGTTGGTGTCTATCTAGAACTCTCACATATTTTATTTCTAGCTTGTTTCTAACTTGATAAGTACATCTTCATGGTGGGATCCTATTTTTTGGGATTCCGTTTCTGCATTTAATCGTGTTCTGAAATCCTAACGGATAATGAGGACGAATTTCTAAGACCCATGCATGAGGGTGGAGAGAGAGAGAGACAGTGTACAATTAATGAAGAGGGGTCCTCGTATAATTTGATTAGATATTGAGAGTTCAAGAACAAAGTGAGTGTGATATATATATGATCCCATTATTTTTGGTATAGGGAGGTCACAATTACTTAAAACAGTTTGATTGTTTGGGTGTGTCATAAAGTTCGAGAAAATTTCTTTTGAACTTTGAGTTTAGTTAATGAAATAAACACAGCTACCTAATTTCATATCTAATGGTCAAGATTAATTGTGACCACATTGTACAGAAGATAAATGGTCTCATTATATACTTACCCACTAGCTCATATGAACATATGAACTTAACGGCCCACATTCAATCTAAGCCGATCTGACGGTGACGATCTCATTTCGTGTTTGAATTTATTTAAATTTTTACGAATTCAAATAACTTGAAATTTTAGATGTCCATTCTTCTTATCAAGGCGTACTTAATAAAATTATTTTAAAAATAATTTGTAAAAAATAAAATTGACCAACCCATGAAATATTTCAGTAGTATTTTGATCAATTTATTTATTGCAAATTATTTTTGGATATTTTTATTATATTTTCATATTTTCTAAAAATACACGTTTAAAATTTAAAATTATTTGGATTTATAAAAAAAAATTAAAATTAAAATTAAAATACGAAATGAAGTCGTGACTGTCAGATCGTCCCAGATTCAATATGAGCCATTGGGTTCATATAAACACATATGATCATATGAGCTAGTGGGCTGAAATAGGCACAAGCATGTCTATTCTTTCCTCTTTTATCTTAGAGACTGAAATAGGGTGTACCTATTGTTTCCTTTTCATCCCATATATATATATATATATATATATATATATATATATGAAAAGTCTTCCCGATGCCTATAGGCGAAAATGAACAGTGATTTCACCTACCCTCATCACCATCCAAAGTTCATCGCATGGTCAGGATTGTTCAGTAGTCTTTTATTTTTCAATTTTTTTCTACAAATCAGAATGATCTTAAATTTGGAGCGTGTATACATCTTAGTGAGTCGCGCCCAATAAAAATATAAAAACAATAATTTGTGAAAATATAATTGACCAAAATACCCTCGAAACTTTTGAGGGGTATTTTGTTAAGTCTTTTCATCTAAAATATTTTGTTTTGATATTTTTCGTAGATTAACCTACTTTTTTATGAATATATGTTCCAAATTTCAGGTCATTTTGATTGTAAAAAAAATAAAAATAAAAAATGAAATACTACCGATCGTGACCGTGCAATGAACTTTAACGGTGATGAGGGTAGACGAAATCACTGTTCATTTTCCCCTATAGGCGTTTTGTAGTATTTTCGCCTATAGGCGTTTTATAGTATCTTCTTTTATATATATATGTATGTATCATACAATGACCAAAATATGAGATTTTCTTATCCCTCATAATATGAGATTTTCTTATGTCGATGATTTTTGGATATCACTATATCCAACCATTATCTCCGTTAAATTTCCATGAAAACCTCTCTCTAGCAGTGTTCATGAGGAACCACTAAAACCTCTTTCTCTCTCTATCAATTTTCGATGGGAACCCACTTCAAACGATTTGTGGAAGTGCGTAGGTTCCTTTGGCTCGTGACTGTATTGAATATTGTATTTCCCTTAATTCTATTCTCACTTGTGGGAATAGAATTTTTTTTTTCTCTCTTCTTTTGTAAAATGAGGGAATAAAAGTTATCTCATTCCTGCAAACCTCTTTCCACCCCCATCAATTTCAAGTCATTCTAGAATCCGTCTAATTACAAGAAACCTCATGTTTCCATATTTATAAGTTTTAGGGGAGATTTTTCACACTTTTTGGCTTTTAAGGTTTAGTAGGTCACCAACCCTTACGTACAAGATTCCACCTTGGAGGACACTTGAGGATGGTGTCCTTTCTCATCCAATTCACATTAGAGAGATGCTTGTACATAAGCCTTTAGTTGTCCAACTTTAATTATATTTTGTATTTGTCCATTAGAGAGAT